ATGTGTCAGTGCAAGGTTTTAGATTGCCTTGCTACGCGCTGACACTGCAGCTGTGTCCAAATACTCTGCTTGGCAGGAAGTCCTCATCAGTGTGACCACTGCCATTAGAGCTGTTCCAGCATGAGATTTAAATGGACCTGCCCCTTCCACCCTTTAGTTTATTCATGAACACTGGCCTTTATGACAGAGAGAGACAGAATAACACATCTACAGGGATAAAGAGAAATACGGGCAGCACTTATATCACTTCTAATAACTAAACAGCATCAAGTGACAGCTTACAAACTCTCAGACTCTCTCTTTAGTATTTTATGTCACTCTTATTTACCATCTCCTGCAACCGCAGCTTTCAGCCCTAATGCACAGGCAGGTCAGACTGATGCACACAACCATTCTGTCCATTCTGTGTTGAGAATGAATGCAGGTTGGCAAACACTCTGTCCACCAAAGTCATTTGTTGATTAACTGGAAGGTACTTGCTCTTTAGTTTTTTTTTTTGGAAGTGATTAGACTTAGTTCATCAGGTTGGCCATGCCAGTAGCACTATCCAATATATTATAGACTCAAACACACAATGCATTGTTTACACCAGTGTATGACCGTCGTATGTTACATTATCTACCCTAAAACCATGATAGAGGCAGGGGATTTTAATCCTCCTACAGGATCACTTGTCTAAGGCAAAAAGCCAAACACAAACAGGGTTTCATCACAGGCTGAGCTGCAAAATGACAACTCCACAGTCACTCCACTGAATGTTAAATTCAACTTATCAAAAACAATTTTTTTAAGCTGAACAGATCATGTCAATTCACGAGACACTTTATTATTCACAATATGTCCTTTAAACTGCCTTTTGACAACAGAGCATCCCAGAATGTGTCATGAGAAAAGGAGAAAGAGCTGAACTCTATGCTCTCATCTTCTCTGTCTTAAGTGAGACTTTGAACCACTGCTCTGCCCACTAATACATTTTAGCCCTTTCCTGTTTTATGGCTCTAACAGGATCAATCGAGTGTAACGTGATCCTCTTCTCCAATCATCTCTTTCCCCACTCATCTTTGTCAGTGGACTGGGGAAGCCCTATAATATGGACTGTGGCTTAGTAAGATAATTTCATTATTGATATCATGACCAGTTGTGCTAGACTGGCACGTGAGCTTGACTGCTGGGAATGCAGATGGCCGCTAGCTGGCAGAAGTTCAGCACAATGTGTCGCTGGTCACTCCTGTATGTATTCATTTTTGGACCTGAATGAAACCAGAATACGCAACATGACTGAGTAACTACTGTATATGATTCACTCATTTAAGACAGAAGAATGATTCTCTCACTGCTTCAGCACATGAAAGTATTCAAGTGTTCACATGGGTCCTTCCCAGAATATTATACTGCAACTTCACAACTGTGTGACTTAAGAAAACCTTTCTAGAGCTGCACTGACAGAATGCTAATGGGATTCATCTTTAATAAATTCACTTATAGGGGCGGTGGCTTTCTGCAGCTACTCTTGTTAAACCTCGAGTCCTCAGCCTCAGCTGTCAATACAGTACAATACTCCACAAAATCCTCCAGTATGAATCCTATGTGATACCTTCTGGATTACCTCCAGCATGTATCCATGTACACTGTAGTCGCCTATCAGAACATTTACATGAAGCACAGATTTCTGGATTCTCAGACTCACCACATTCTACAGATCCATTTCATATTCATGATTTTTTTGTGTTACATTTTCTTTATTTTTAACTCATTCTGATTAAGGAATCTGCTGACCCAGACAAATTGCCAAACAATTCAGTGTATGTTGCAACAGTAATGGTGTTTCAAAGTAATGCAGATCGGTATTTTGTCCAACAACAATGCAGGATTGCATTTTTGTGTTAAAAAAATGTCATGGTTATTCTTTTGGACTGCACTGTATTATATAAAAGATATTGGTGTCATTATATAAATCCCTTTTCATTTTATAAATTGCGAGATACACATCAGCTATGCCATGTCAGAGCAGGTAAAGCCTGCTGTGAAATGAGTTAAGAGGTCTTTGATGGGGAATAACTGAGGCATTATTCCTTTGAGAGGTTGAAACAGGAAACAAACATTTAGCCACAGAGAAAAATCAATCAGACTGTGTTGTAAATGTAGGCTATGTCCAAATTATCAGATGGCATCCATAAGCTTGGGCAAGCTCTTTACTGTGGTTTATTTGTGATTTGTTTGTGTGTGTCTCGCTGACCTCTACTTTTACTTTCCAGACAAGGTGCCTCTCACACGCAGGTACATGCATGCAGACTTTACTATCTCAAGCTGTTCTGCAGTGCTTGAAAATCAGCCAAATGACAGGAGGACACTAGTGAGGTTGCTGGCAGATTATGGTTTGACCTGCTGTGTCAGTATGAAAAATGTACCTAACCTTTCAAAGCTTAAAGATGCAGAGTTATGTAACAGAGTAGAAAATAGGTTTTGATTTTGTTTCCTTACAGTTAAATCTAAAAACCTGTTCCTGTCAATCTTTTCATCAACAGTGTATGAATTTAGCACAAAGGATCTTGTCTGAACTAACTAGAAAAGCACTTAAACACTGTCTACATTTTCTGTCCTGATTTACATGTCAGACTCTAGATTAATGAATGAAACAATGAAAACTTCTTATCTGTAAGAAAGTAAAAGCAAAAAGAGAAAAGTACCAAGGGGTGCCAGGGTGTAACAACCAAGCCACAATCAGCGATGGCAATGATTTCCACTGTTATTACAAAAGGCTGGGCTCATCCCAGCTTTGATTACTAAATAATAAATAACATTAAAACTCTGCTCTGAACTGACAGGTTGTGATCTTAGTTATTTCATTTTTTTTTTATATGACAAATGAATGTGCTGGAACGTACTTTCTCAAATGCTCGTGCTCCTTTAGAAACAGTTCTGTTCTCCTGTTGTTGACCCCAGAGCCACTCTTGAATGTCCTGAAAAAGGCACACAGACACAGTGCTAAAAACAAACAGTCACAAATGAAACAAAGTTATGTAATAATATCTGCTACTTGTGTAATCTGACACATCATTTGAAACCACTAAGAGACTGGCCATCATTTTTGCATTCATTGCAATCTTGCAATGACAAAGACCTGTTGGGTCTCTTAGTCAAGTATTAAAAAGATCCATATAGCAGTTGGTGCCAATGCCACATTCCCTGTACCTGATTTTACACTAACAACCTTCTTGTGGTAGAAAGGAGCCAGAAATAATCAGTTTGCACTGACTTAGCGGTAATTTAACACACCAAATACAGCATCATTACGGTTGTAGAGCAAGTTAGAATACAATGTTTTAACTAAAATTGGATGGTCAAAGTGGAAAAACCACCTTATTTAACATAGGAGCTTCTACCAAAGTGAAAACTGAACAAAGCCAAGGCTTTAAACCATTGTGCCTTGTCTCTAGTCACTTGCAGGACCACACATATTGAGCCTATTAGTTTAGTGTAACAACACAATTTGGAAGGGCAGAGATGGTCATCCTGCTTCCAAAGCAGTGCCAGTCTGGTTCTCCACTATGAAGCAGCAATAGAAATACCTCTGGTCACAGCTCGGCTTGCCACAGCACAGCTAACAATGACCTGCTGGGCAACGAGAAAGGGCCACAGGAGCTGCTTCCTCTCCCTCTCTCCCACTTCTTAATTCCTCAAACCATTATCTACCCACTTCACCTCAAGAATTTTAACAGCTTTAAATAACAAATATGAAGAAAAGAGGAGCAGAGCAACTGAGTCATTAAAAGAGCCACTCAGTGATCACTGTTTGTGTAGAATTTTTTTTTAAGAGCTCATATCATTAAAATTTGAAAAAGGGTTCTGAGAAGTGTAAAACTGTTAACTGCTGATTTGTTCACTATACCTTACAATTCTTTTACAATTCTAAGCATTATGTGTGAAAGACCACTGATTCTGTCCTCTCATTACAGCACAGTACAATCTCTGGTTAATAAAGGAGCAGAAACGAAGCAGCGCCAGCTATCTGGTAGCAAAGCAGTCAACATTAATGGATGGCTTGTTATACCACTCGCAGAGCAAACACATCACACCCATTCTTTTAGTTCCCCTTGATGCAACTCGAGCTATCACCATCCCTGAACAGCTGACTCTCAGTGCTCTCCTGGGTTTCTGCTCATTTAACACAGCCCCACCCTCCTGTTGGGCGAGAACGCGATAAAGAGCAAGGGAGGAGAAGGAAGTCTAACATAAGAGTATGTACACAGATATACCATTAACATCCCGCCCCACCCAGATAACTGTAAGCAGCCCAAGAACGAATGTGCTTACTTCGTCCCTAGTGCGCCATCCAAAGACAGTGAATGGAAATACTATATGCACTCCACAGTGGCTGCCTTGAGGGTGAGCTGGCTGCCCCACGAGCACAGCTGATGCCGCTGTGGGGCTAGTATTGCCTGTATTGACAGCTGGCTTCATTAATCCAGCAAGGTTTTTGTAAAAGGGCACCGATGTAAATCACAGGCAGGCTGTCTCTTTTGTTGCTGACGCTTAGAATCCAAGCAGGAGCAGAGGGAGTGTGAAGTCTGAACTCAGCTCTGCTCCATGCTGCTGTTGTGAAAGGCACAGCTGAGTGTGTGAGCACACTGCAAGACATTGATACAGTAGTTGATAAATGTCCTACTGCTATTTAGGTGCTTGCATAAGTGAGCACAAGTGCACTATTTATTAAATTGGTATGGATTTTTTGTGTGTGACCTGTAAGCAGCCCTAACATGTTTTAAAAATCTGGAGTGAAGAGTCTGCTGACCAGGTTTACTCCATGCCCAAGATCTCTACTGCCCTCTACCTGACAAAAGGCTCAGCTGCAGCACACACACTTATCACAACAATACCAATAATTTGTTGTAGGTCTACCAATATCTCAGCAAACTGGCTTCAACATGATGCTTTCCAGAACAACTATTTTTGCAGCATATTACATTAAAGCTGTTTATAAAAACTGGCTATGATTGATTTTATTATTATGCTGTTACGTTATAAGGGCTAAGCTGCTCTAGCCAAGAACTGACCATATATGTAGTGCCGCCGGAATGCAACGGAACAGCGCTTCACCACTTTTTTCTCCAAGAGAGGAAAAAGAATATTTGCATAATCCAGTTGACATTCATAATGTAAATTTTTTGTGAATGCTTAAAGATCCAATCATCAGTAAAGTGTATGTCCTGCAAAATGGTCTAAGATGTGACAATAAAATCTAAGGTGTGGTTACTGAGTCAAACAATGCATGCTCCCATGCACAGAACTAGCACCCGAGAGAGTTTATGTTTAGTCCAATCACATATATGGTTGGACTAAACACAGAGACACAATTTAGTGTTGAATACAGACCCCATTTACAAAAGTCAAACAACAGAACAAAGCTCAGGTCATCCAGACCGATAAACTAGAGCGTAATCTCCAGGAGGGGCCATGGAGACAAACGATCAGCAACAGAAACAGACTTTATTTATATATATGTACATCTATCTATGTAGATAGATAGCTATCAGAAGAAATGTGTTAGTGATAAGGGTAGCTCACACCTTTGTTATTCCTCACTAGCTGCATTTCATTCAGGGCGGTTCAAGGAATCATGCCTTGATTTCCGTCCATGAGACTTTCATTTACTCTCAAGGCCTCCTGTTCCATTTTCCCCCACTAATGAGAGTCACTGAGGTCAGGGGTAAATTGCTTTTCAAAAGAAACTGTGTCATGTAAAGCACGACTCGACCTCTCAGCGGTTTTAATTCCCCTACCTCAGATGTGCTCCCCTCATTACCAGCCCCTGGGCACATTAGTCACTATTAGGCTGCACCCTGGGTCAACAGCATTGGCTCATCTGTATGCATTAGATTCATCAGCACTGAGCCTATTAGTAGGGCTAGTGGCACTCCAAGCAATTTCACTTAATCAGAAGAGTGAGCGAACTGTTCCATGTAGCAGTGACCTCCTGGGATGTAACTGAGTAAATGTACACTTAAAACTTTGATTGCTTAGGTGCAGCCTGACTTCCAATTATTATCAGAGAATAATGTCTTGGTGGTGCATTGATAGAAGTATGGTAGTTTTAAATTGGGTTAGCTTAAGGAAGCTTAACTACAAGAAACAATTATACTTTGTTCATTTATGCATAAAGAAAGAAAAATGTTAAAGGGGAAAGTGATGCATCCTCACCTCAACCTTTCTTTACAACAATAATCATATGAATAAAAGCAGCTGCTGTAGCAACAACTACGATCATCCTAGTAATATTTTAAGAAACAGCTATACAGTGGTCCAAAAAGGTATTTTTGAAAAATGAGCAGTGGTGAGGTACTTCATCATGTCCCTGTACATTGTCTCAAGAGTTGAAGAAAGCAAATTATTATGTAGTAGGAGGACTGACAACCTGTCACGAAAACGAAGCAGCGCCAGCTATCTGGTAGCAAAGCAGTCAACATTAATGGATGGCTTGTTATACCACTCGCAGAGCAAACACATCACACCCATTCTTTTAGTTCCCCTTGATGCAACTCGAGCTATCACCATCCCTGAACAGCTGACTCTCAGTGCTCTCCTGGGTTTCTGCTCATTTAACACAGCCCCACCCTCCTGTTGGGCGAGAACGCGATAAAGAGCAAGGGAGGAGAAGGAAGTCTAACATAAGAGTATGTACACAGATATACCATTAACATCCCGCCCCACCCAGATAACTGTAAGCAGCCCAAGAACGAATGTGCTTACTTCGTCCCTAGTGCGCCATCCAAAGACAGTGAATGGAAATACTATATGCACTCCACAGTGGCTGCCTTGAGGGTGAGCTGGCTGCCCCACGAGCACAGCTGATGCCGCTGTGGGGCTAGTATTGCCTGTACTGACAGCTGGCTTCATTAATCCAGCAAGGTTTTTGTAAAAGGGCACCGATGTAAATCACAGGCAGGCTGTCTCTTTTGTTGCTGACGCTTAGAATCCAAGCAGGAGCAGAGGGAGTGTGAAGTCTGAACTCAGCTCTGCTCCATGCTGCTGTTGTGAAAGGCACAGCTGAGTGTGTGAGCACACTGCAAGACATTGATACAGTAGTTGATAAATGTCCTACTGCTATTTAGGTGCTTGCATAAGTGAGCACAAGTGCACTATTTATTAAATTGGTATGGATTTTTTGTGTGTGACCTGTAAGCAGCCCTAACATGTTTTAAAAATCTGGAGTGAAGAGTCTGCTGACCAGGTTTACTCCATGCCCAAGATCTCTACTGCCCTCTACCTGACAAAAGGCTCAGCTGCAGCACACACACTTATCACAACAATACCAATAATTTGTTGTAGGTCTACCAATATCTCAGCAAACTGGCTTCAACATGATGCTTTCCAGAACAACTATTTTTGCAGCATATTACATTAAAGCTGTTTATAAAAACTGGCTATGATTGATTTTATTATTATGCTGTTACGTTATAAGGGCTAAGCTGCTCTAGCCAAGAACTGACCATATATGTAGTGCCGCCGGAATGCAACGGAACAGCGCTTCACCACTTTTTTCTCCAAGAGAGGAAAAAGAATATTTGCATAATCCAGTTGACATTCATAATGTAAATTTTTTGTGAATGCTTAAAGATCCAATCATCAGTAAAGTGTATGTCCTGCAAAATGGTCTAAGATGTGACAATAAAATCTAAGGTGTGGTTACTGAGTCAAACAATGCATGCTCCCATGCACAGAACTAGCACCCGAGAGAGTTTATGTTTAGTCCAATCACATATATGGTTGGACTAAACACAGAGACACAATTTAGTGTTGAATACAGACCCCATTTACAAAAGTCAAACAACAGAACAAAGCTCAGGTCATCCAGACCGATAAACTAGAGCGTAATCTCCAGGAGGGGCCATGGAGACAAACGATCAGCAACAGAAACAGACTTTATTTATATATATGTACATCTATCTATGTAGATAGATAGCTATCAGAAGAAATGTGTTAGTGATAAGGGTAGCTCACACCTTTGTTATTCCTCACTAGCTGCATTTCATTCAGGGCGGTTCAAGGAATCATGCCTTGATTTCCGTCCATGAGACTTTCATTTACTCTCAAGGCCTCCTGTTCCATTTTCCCCCACTAATGAGAGTCACTGAGGTCAGGGGTAAATTGCTTTTCAAAAGAAACTGTGTCATGTAAAGCACGACTCGACCTCTCAGCGGTTTTAATTCCCCTACCTCAGATGTGCTCCCCTCATTACCAGCCCCTGGGCACATTAGTCACTATTAGGCTGCACCCTGGGTCAACAGCATTGGCTCATCTGTATGCATTAGATTCATCAGCACTGAGCCTATTAGTAGGGCTAGTGGCACTCCAAGCAATTTCACTTAATCAGAAGAGTGAGCGAACTGTTCCATGTAGCAGTGACCTCCTGGGATGTAACTGAGTAAATGTACACTTAAAACTTTGATTGCTTAGGTGCAGCCTGACTTCCAATTATTATCAGAGAATAATGTCTTGGTGGTGCATTGATAGAAGTATGGTAGTTTTAAATTGGGTTAGCTTAAGGAAGCTTAACTACAAGAAACAATTATACTTTGTTCATTTATGCATAAAGAAAGAAAAATGTTAAAGGGGAAAGTGATGCATCCTCACCTCAACCTTTCTTTACAACAATAATCATATGAATAAAAGCAGCTGCTGTAGCAACAACTACGATCATCCTAGTAATATTTTAAGAAACAGCTATACAGTGGTCCAAAAAGGTATTTTTGAAAAATGAGCAGTGGTGAGGTACTTCATCATGTCCCTGTACATTGTCTCAAGAGTTGAAGAAAGCAAATTATTATGTAGTAGGAGGACTGACAACCTGTCACGAAATGGACACACCAGGGGCTTTAGCTCCATTTTTCATGTTGCATTATGAGAGTTTAATTAGAAAGAGTTATGTAAAGTGGCTGTGAGGCCTGCGGAACATGTATGATGCCTGTATGAGGCAGTTGCAGATGGAGGGGGATCGATAGGAATCCTCACAGTATGCTCACTGCTGTTCACCTACAGATCAATAAGCCATTACAAAAAAAAAATAAAAATAAAAACAAGAGTTATGGTCTGGGTGAGATTCAATCTCATTTTAATACACTCACTCAAACCTGAGCCAATCTGAGAATACGCTTTCCCAATACAAGGCCGAAGAGGCCATGAATCTTGTTCGATTTTAATGGCCAACATTCTTCAAGCATGTGCCAAGTGGAAGTCAAGGTTCAACAACTATCCCTCTAAGGAGTTAGATCTACAACACAGGAGTACTGCGAATAGTGCTTGGCAGTTTTTAATTCATCACACAATAAAGTTATTTGTTTTGAATGTAGCACTATATAAAGTGTCCTGTGAGTGAGATAATAAGAGACAGTACTGGCTCCAACACCCATTTACTGTACCTTCAAGAGTCAAACCATTTAATTAGGTATCAACAGTTCTGTGCACTGGAACTGCATTTGCAGTGTGACTAATAAACTACACAGAGCATATTCCCACAGCTGTGACACAGGCTGATGCATTAGCTACATGGCCAAATTAATCATATAGCATGGGGCGACTGGGTACTCACTCAATGTCTTTCCTGACGGAGCCCAGCAGGTCTTCCCTTTCCCGGATGGCCAAGAAGTTGCCTTTGGTTTTGTGGAATTCATGGGTATAATCCTGAGTGGGAAACAAGTAAGAGTGAAAATGTAGAGGCATGGAGGAAGAACAAAAAGCAAACACCAGGAGGCATCTTGAAACACTGTAGCTTCTGAGCAGAGGTGTAGTGCTATTTGATGAAGTACTGGAGCACACCCATGACGCACACATATGCACATGCGCACACATGGTTAAGTTGTGGCTTGGTTCAAGGGTCATGTAAATACTTTTCCTATGGTGGCAATTGTAATTGCCCACATGATCAAATGTTGTGTGGCAGGATAACAATGTGAATTAGTAGCTATTTGTCACAGGGTCAATGTTATATCCATAGGGTGTAATCTCTACAGGGGACACGTCCCACCCAAAATATGACAAAAGGAAATTTGTCCTACCCCACCATATTTGTCATGACCAGTCATCAGTTGCCTCCTAAATCTACAGGGAAAATAAATATTCTTCACTCGAGTGTTAAACTGACTCGAAAACATACTGATTGTTCACTGAACTCCTGCTTCATGTTGGTTTACATGTCAACCAGCAACAGTGAGCACATCAGCAGCTGTGCATGGGGCTCACGTCTGGTCTGCATGGGGCTCACGTCTGGTCAGCATGTGCCAAAGTTTGGCCATCCTGTGCCCTCCTTGTGTCATATAGACCTACAGCCAATCACTCACACGTACACACAGAACACGGTCTGTTTCTGCTGCTGATCGTTGTATCTGATGTTTGTCTCCATGGCCCCTCCTGGAGATTGCGCTCTAGTTTGTCAGTCTGGATAATCTGAGTTTTGTTCCATCACTTGTTTTTTTGTAAACAGGGTCTGTATTCAACAATAAACTGTATCACTGTGAACCATCCACATCATCATATATAGGTTGAACAACAAACACTCGTGGATGCCAATTCTGTGCATCAGATTTTGCAGGACACACACTTTACTGATGACTGGATCCTCAAGTGCTCAAAAACATGTTGCATTATGAATTTCAACCGGATTATACAAAGATTCTTTTTCCTCTGCTGGAGACAAAAAGTAGCGGAGCGCTGTTCCAGTGCATTTAGGCAGCACTACACCTATGCTCGTGAGGCAAACCTGTAGGATGTCTCTGTGTCTCTGGAGTGTGTGCATGAGTGCAGCATTAAGAGAAGCCATGCCCGGGGCATTGGTGTACTCCGCCATCTTGTCATTTACTGCAGTCAGCTGACAGAGAAATGGGACACATGGATGGAAAAGACATCACAAAAATGAGAAGAAGAGCAAATAAGGTAAAGACCGACACACAATTGCAATACAACGTGGCATAATGTATATGCAAAATACAAAAACAGCAACACAAACAACATGTGTCAACTCAGGGAAGTACACTTTATACAAATTAGCCAAATGTTACAACACAGTATATGGGTAAATGCATTTGTACCCTTTTATGCTCAGAACTGCACAATATTACGATAACAGTGTAGCTGTTGTTTCACCTTTAAATCATACTGTTAAACTCTACCCTTCTGCTATGATCTTTTGTTGCATGCAGTCTGCCTTTGAATGTGGTATGAAAAAGGTATGAGTCCTTTATTTAAGTTGAAGTCAATCAAAAACATTTAAGTAACACTTAAGCAACTGAACAAGAAGTTTCTTAACCTTGGCCAGCAGCTGTTCGATCTCCACTGACATAGTGTCAAACATCCTGTCCTGGGTGGAGTTGTTAAGCAGCGGGGTGGTGTCGGACCTTGACAAGGGAAAACAGAACAGAGAACAATTAGAAATTCAACTTGAAGCTGGTTGTTTATGCTAGCTTTTAAAAATGTTGCAAAAGGAAATATCTCACAGGTTTCTTATAAGTAAAACAAAAATATACACTGCTATTGATTGTTTCACTGATGAAATATTAGGTTTTACACCAAAAGAACATAGCGATTATTTTCCAGTGTTTGCAAGCCTCCACACATATCCAAGACCTCTGACTACGGCGACTTAGGCCACATTTGATCTTCTACGTTCATTAAGACCATTAAATACATGTCTGTATTACTTTTATTTTGTGATTTTGAAAGAGACTTGATCTTACGTGTCTCCTCGACGTCCATCCCTAGAACCGCTATAGCTGGTGCACAGTTTACTGAAGGATACCAGCTTCAGATCGAGTTCATTCTCCAACTGTCTGGCCTGTTTTCGCAGATCTGGAACACATCCAGACACATCATTTTAACATTTAGTTGTAGAAAGACACCAAGTAGATTTACTCAGGTACTGTATGTAATAAGGTAAAAAAAATCAATCAATTTTTTACTTGATACCCGACAACATTTATGCAGGAGCTGTAGTTCCTCTTTACTCTGAATCATGGTTGGATGTGAATTAGGGATGCACCAATACCACTTTTGTTTTCAGACCAAGTACAAGTACTTACATTTGAGTACTCACTGATAATGTGTACTCAATGATGCAATGTTTCTACTATTAAAAAAAATCCACAGTTACCAGAAAAGTGCTGTGTTTCTTGTAGTTAGATTCAACCCATTTTCATACAGAGAGCTCAGCTGCCGCCGCCATTACTTACATTGAGTTAGCATCTGTTTTCCTCCAGTTCACTACAATCAGCATTAACAAGCACTGTATGGTTTTGGCTGGTGAACGGGACATAATGCATTCCCTAGTCGCTTACCTTAACCCAGTGGTTCTCAAAGTGGAACCATACTGCAACAATAACGGTTTATTGTTGGCATGTTAACTGCCACGCAACAATATAAGGAAACGTTCACACAGAGGGCAAATAGTGTACATATTGGGCATAATAACGTAAATGGATAAATTTGTTACATGGACCACAAAAAAAGTAGGTGATTCAGCGCAAGCAGACAAAGAAACGACAGGCAGTAAGCCTTATCAACCAAAAAGCCAGCTGAAAAGAAAATATGATGAAGCCTATCTTGCACTTGGATTCATGGTGGGAATGGTGGGGGCAGAGGACAGACACAGTGTGTCTTGTGTCTTAAAGGAAAATCCTGAATAAATGAGTGAAAATAAAAAAAAATGCATGTCTCATTGATTAATCTGTTGGTTATTTTCTTGATTATTTACTTTTTTATTCACACTATGTAAAAAATAGTTGCTGTGTTGCTGAAAGTCCTAGGAAGCATGAAAAAGTGTGTTGTACACAGTGAGGGGATACGTTTTGTTCTGGACACACTTTATTAAAACTGCATGTTCTCCTCTTTATGTTAGGTGAGAAATGAAACGAAAAACTATGTGTATAATAATGTTACACTGTCGTTTGCGCTCCATAATGAGCACTTTTACTTAATACTTTAGGCACATTTTAATGATAATGCTACCGTAATTTTACGTAAGTAAGATTTTGAATGCTGGAATTTTAGCTACTTGTAGCTAATCATTAGCAATTTCTACTAAATAAAAGATCGGAGTATTTCTTCCACCACTATTAACACTTAACGACGGCTCACGGTTTACTGCCACAGCCAAACAAACGTTATTACAGCAGCTTACATGAACTTATACCACCGGAATAACCTGACGAACCTAACTTACTTCAACGTTACATTAACATAGAGGAGACTGTAAAAACTGTCAGCTCGTTAATGTAAGTAACAGTTCGCACAAATAGCCAACTAATTCTCGATATGCCGAGATGATAACCGAGTCAGAGCGGCGACAATTTTAGAATGACGTTAACTTACGTGACGGTATGTTAGCTAGCTCGGTGGGAGCAACTTGTGATAGTGACACGTTTGTGTTCAGACCATAGATAAATAGTTAAATAGTCACATTGGCAAATGAACTGCTGAAACTATGTATATTTTACTAACTGCCAAATGTGGCTGTAAATGCAGTTTACTGTGAATTTTGCTCCGTTACCTTCCCAGTAGGTGCTACTTCCGATTCCTGCCATCTTTGTTGCTCTGCGGCCTAACCAGCTTCCGGGATGCATCACGTGCCACCCAGGCCACGCATGTACACGGCGACGGAAGTGAATGTTTCCTCCATAATTTAGTGCTCTTGGTAAATTTGATAATGCAACATCTAAATGGACTGGCACCAAACCTTTAATTGTTTTACTGTTGAACCTAAACAAAAATTTTAGGAAAACATTCGGTTCTTTAAATTAAATAGAATTTAATTTAAACTTCAAATGAATGTACTTCAGTGTCATAAACGACTTCCCTGGCCATACAAATTGTCATCTATAAATAGTGAACCTCTTTTTTTGTAAATAAATAGTTTAAAAGATCCAGTGATTTATTCAGCACCACCTACAGGGCATGAGATGCTTCCACAAAAAGGTTTAACAATTGCACTAAATTTAATGTTACTTTTGTGTTTTGGGAGCTATACAACTACTGTGAGAACTATTAAAGGTATAGTTCACATTCAGTATTTTAACATTGATACAGTTGTGGCAGGTTATATGGAGCAGAGTACTTTGTGAAAGACTACAGCTGAAACAATCACTTTAAAAATGTGATAGTTGTGTCAATGCACAGTTGCTATTGCCTAGAAGGTCCAGTAAATATCAACTCTTCATTCATGACTGCTATGATTAAAATAGGATGTTAAAATGTTTCCAGATGAAAAAACCAGTATTAAACAGTATATTACCTTTTGTTATACTTGTGCAACTCTGATTCTATGCTTCCTTGTGTGCTCCTTTTTTCACTTTCTACAATAATAATGTCAGCAACCTATTGTAACAGTGACTGTGCCACACACTTACATATTGGCATCAGGAGCAATTTGGGGTTCAACTGACCCTCCAATTAAGCCATTACCCACTTGACCTTCTGAGCCACAGCTGCCATTCCTGTCCCAAACATCCCACTTACTAAAGACAAGAAGAAATGGATACATTGAAGCCTACTTCTTAAATTACACATTGGATATTTAAGAGGAATTTCAGGCTACAATGCCAGAGCAGGTAGACAAATAAATTCTAGCATCACAGAGACAGCAATGCATCAGGGAATGCAAAATCATAAGAAAAGGGAAAATCCTTCTATCATAGCATTAAAGTAGAACTATTATCACTTCATCTTTCCTTCTTCACATTGCTGACACATTCAAACACCTAGGAAGAAATCCAAGTTACATATTGGTACAAGGTCACTTCATCATCTGCTTTATGTCAGTTATTGCTGTATTATTTTTAATTTTGTGCATTCAATTACACACAATGTCCTTTAGTTCATTATAAGTGAATTTTACTCCAGTAACATTTTCTTCACTGCTGGACTGTCTACTTCAGTGTCAAAATAAATACACAACTCATGCAACACAAAAGCAGGAGAGATGTGAAGTTTTATTTCCTTTTGAGTTTTTGTGTCATGACCACACAGAGGTTCTTATATGTTACTTGTAGGTTCATGGTTAACACAAATTGCACTTGTTTTCCCATTCACAACTGGCAAACAATATTTACAGTCGAGTCCAGTTTATAGAAAATCTTCACACCAACAACCTTGACACATACTCAACTTTCAAAATTCATATACACATTCACAGCCAGTACAACACAAATAATGATATACAAAACCGTCTCTCTACACAGATATATCAGGTTTAACTTAACTGATGGCAGCTGCATTTCTTAAAAGGAGAAAATCTCTTCTCAAAGTTACTGGAAACCAGTGCAGATTCTTTAGTGAACAAGTGTGTATTCCCTCAAACAGCTGCATGGCATTAAAAAAATGAAAATGATTTTGAGTCAGTGTAGCACTAAATCAGTTAATTGTACTTACACATTGATTTCTGATGAAAACCACAATTTTCTTGCAAGTCTACACACAAACCCTTTCCCTCATTTTGCCTGTATCCCACTCAAATGCTTTCATCCAATGACTAATGAACTCCTTACATATGATGAGAAATGGTAAAGCACTTCATTATCATTTCACACCAGACTACGGTGTTTCTTTTAAGCCACTAAAGGAATTCATCTGTAGCTTCTTTTTCAGCTCCCCAAACAATTGTCTGAAACACAATGAGTGCAAATTAATCATCAGATGACGCATTTTGAGCTTGCAGTCATCATCACAGTTGAGTGGACTAAGCTCCATATGACCTTTGTTTTAAAATTAGCTCAGAAAATATGCCCTTCTTTGCACTGGACCTTTAAAACATAGTATGGGTGACTGACATTGATTCATAGACAATGATCATTAATGTAGGACAAACCTAAACTAAGATGCTCAGATATAAACAAAACTGGCAGTAAAAGATAAGGGATATGGTGAAAGTGTCAAAAACAGGGCAGAGACTCATCGTGATATGCATCAAAGTCAGCAGTTAGGTTCCATGTACAAAAAATTTGAAATTGTACTAAAACCTAAATTATACTTAAAAAAAGGGGGGGGGGGGCATTCTCATGATTACTTAGATATTTATAGTTTTTTTTTCTTGGCTAATGATAAAGGATGATTCTCGCTTTAGATTTAGTGCAAGTGATCGCCACACATATATTAAAACACCCTGCACTAACTGAGAAGGGTTTCATTCCAGCTTGGTAATAGATTCTCCCTAATGACTTAAAGCCTTTGAGAAACTCCCTCCTTTTATGATTTTGGCCACACCTCACCAAAGAAGAAATGGAAGAGACAAAAAAAAAAAAAAAAAAAAAAAAAAACTACTGAACACAGGTTAGCCAGAAACAATGCAGCATTGGAATTGGAGTCCTTATATCATCATTTCACTTTTCCTACCACCTGAGAATAGGATGGATCAAATTGCAACTTGGCCCAAGTATTCCTTTCATTCCGTTGCTGCATCTTGTTCCACACAACAGCCCAACCGGACTCTAAACTCTACAGAAGCCAAGGCACAGTATTGGATTCAGTCTTCCAAAGGTTCACATTTTAACATGGCAACGCTGTCTCGGGTAAAAGCAGAAGATTCCCAACTCAGAGCACTACTGGTCAAAATGCATGGCCATGACAGACATCATCAGGGAGACTGTGAACACTTCCATCCAGAGTTCATTACACAACCACTAAAGCAAGAGTTTATTTGGACTTATTGGCCTGACCCTTTAGCTGGGCGGGACAGACAGTGGTCTGAAAGAGCACTCTTGGCTCAGAAACAAAAAAAAAAAAAAAGCTTTGGGACTCAAAAACTGATGCTGAGGACAGTTGAGAAGCACAGCGGGCTGAACCCGTTTCTTTGCCTTCTTTGTCACCTTCTCTCCATCGGTTGAACCAGTCAAGCAGAGAGAGAGAGAGAGAGAACGAAAATGCAGACACCAGCAGCAGGATGTTCTTAAGTATTAATTTAATAGCACTAATAACTGTGTGACCAGAAGTAAGTGCTCAAAGCCTGTTGGTATAACTGAACAAAGTGTCTTTATCACTCTTGGTCTCGGCAAAGTAGAGAGACAGAGAAGCTGCCCCAAGTTCAACCTGCTCCTTGACAGCCAGAGGGATGAGATCAGAAGAAAATACTGAGCCAGCAGCCAAGTTGGTGCAGTGGTTCTCAGAGTTTGTTGGCGTACAGCGTTTCCTCCTCACTCTCACTCTCATCCTGAAACTCGTGCGCGAGCAGCGACTTCTTGGAGCTCATAGACGTAAGCCGGATCTCGTCGTCATAATCATCTCGGTGCTGTCGCAAACGGTGAAAGCCATCCTTTTGATGATTAGACTTGGCCGCGCACACACACCAGATGATGCATGCCGTCACCACCAATGCTGTCATGGTGGCCGCTGCAGGGAGGGAAAGAAAAACAAGACACTGTATAGCACAGACATGCACAAACAATAAACAGAACATTCAAGACTTTAAAAAAAAAAAAAGTTCCATCACACTACTTGGAGTAAACTACAGAGTAAGCAGATTTATGTTGCGCACACTTAACATACGACTGTACTATTCAAGTGTCAATGACAAAGATCTTGCAGTGTGGACCAAGGAGAAAAATGTATTGTCACGATAAACTGACTAAACTTCTTTCAAGAACAGTGAAGTCCAGATCCTCTCCAGAGAACATTGCTGGTTTGAGAGAGGAGTCAAGGAAGCTATTTTTGCCCAAATTGAACATCCCTCTCTAAATAGGGGTGGTGGACTAAGACACAAGCTGAACGACCAAAAAGCGGTAAATCCATGATGTATAACACAATCACCCTTTGAGGATGCTCTTGTTGCCTTTGTGTTATTGGGGCATAATGACAAATTCTTTCAAGGATGATGGAGCAGGATTGTTGACAATTCTGTACAATAAACACCAAGTAGTATAATTAATGAAATTATCAAATATGAAAAAGTTGTACTTTTTAAATTATGTGACAGTGATGATATCTAAGTGTTTTTTTCCATTAAGTATTTTCAACACTCTTTGTATAAACTATGTAAAGGTCTCAAAGTGGATTTTCATACCTTCGACCATGATGTAACACAATGAGAAATAAAAATCAAATAAACATTTTCACTGCATCCATTAAGAGTTGGTTCCTTATGAATTTAACATTTCTGAGGTTGACTAACTGCACAACCAGTTTTGTTTTGATTTCTTTAACATGGTTTTCAAATGTGAGTCTAATAGGATTCCAAGATACTGGCAATCTGGCACAATTTACCTTTATGTGGACAGCTCATGTAAGGAATATAACATCGATTACAAAATGCCTTTTCCTAGACATGCGTACCTGCACTTGCCACCACAAACTCTCTGGGCAGGCCAAAGACACTGTTGTCCATGTCAAACTCAATAATGATGAAGCTAGCAGCTTCAAAGGAAGAGACCACCACCTGGAACACAAGAAAAAAAACACTTCACTGAACCTCCTAAACCAGCTTCTTGTCAAATTGTAGGGAATGATGACAACATTCGTAAAAAGTCATCATTATGCCAAAAAAAAAACTTTTTTTGGGATTATTGGTGTCTGGATATGAACTGCAAACAGCTACAGTCCAGGTCATACACATTTCAAAAGCTGTGGTCATGTTAATCAAGCTACTTTAAAAGAACTTCTTTGAAGAATTACATAAACATTTGCTGACTGACTTGTGAAACTCAAACAACTAAGGCTGGATTTTCATTTCTGTAGATGCTTTTCTTGTTTTTAATTTGTGTACTAACTTGAAAATCAGCTCAAAATGCAACAATAAAAAGAAAACATCAAGCTTTACCACACTGTCTTATACATCCCGACTGCTTGACCAAATGCAGGTAAAGGGCATCAGGCTGTCTGCTAAAGCTCCCCACACAGGTAAGTTTGTTAATCACCTAATTAGCAGGTCTCATCTACAGGTGTGACTGCTTAGTAGAACTTAGTGCAGGTGATGTCTAAGATCAGGTTTGCATGCTGGCTCATAAAAATAAATAAAAAAATCCTTCAGCTATCTTCTGATAGATAAATTACAAAAAGGGAATTCTCTCCATAGCAAGTGATGGGTCTCTCACTTATTTACAGTATTTGAGTTAAGTTTTTAAAAATGTGGACACTAGACTCAGAGGCTCCACCAAAGATGTCAAAGCATGTCTTCAGACCTGATTCAGTCATTTGATCTGAACCCAGAACAGACACAAAGAGTAAGTGCAAATTCACTTCCTTTTTGTATTATTGATATGGTTTGTTCATTTTCTAACAGTATGACAAGAACCTGCACAGGTTTCCAAATACAGTGAAAATAAAATAACATCCCTTTTAATTTCCAGAGGAATGAGATGCGGCCCTATGGCCTAAGGCGGTGTATTCGCTGTCCTAAGAAATATGGGGAAACTATTAAAGAGAGGAAATACATGTTGGCCCCAAGTCAGACTCTGGATTGTATGAATGAGCACAGTGAAGCCGACCCTGCGAAACCCCTGGATGAACGGTACATAAGAAACGCTGCTGTCCTTCCAGATGTCGAACTGCCGCGCATTGACAGAGCTTTCTCTGCTGAAGAGAAGACCCCCAGCAGCATGTCGACTGGTCAGTGTGGTGGCCCACAACATCAGCCAGGGCTTCGGATCCATGGCTTCACAGCAGCAGAGTACCAGCAGACTTATCATTCAGTAGTGGATCCCCTGCTCCTCAGTCCCTGTGGGACACTCGCAGCCTACAGTCTGGAGCTGGGGCGTAACATTAAGGAACGTCTATTTAAAGAGCTCGCCTACCCAATGCTTCAAATTTCAGAGTATTCCGATGGAAAGGTGGAGGTGGTAGAGAGATTCTGTGTGCTCCGCCCTACACCTTTGATAGATATAGACAATAAAGGTGGACTGCAGTAATAATCTGCCACAGTGTGCTAGTTTTTATTTAGACAGGTTGTGTTTCACTTGAGTGTAGTACGGTAGCCAGATATATACTTTGAAAAATCAGACCTTTGACATTTTCAGTGATTCTCTTCTTTGTAAACAGTTTACTGAAGCCAAATCTGTGAAGTCTGGTTTTTTCTAATTGGGGTTTGTATCTGAGTGCCCAGTAGATCACATTTTTTTGTTTGACACAAAAACAATGTAGTGCCATCATGTATGTATGACCGCCACCCGTTCAACAGAGCACCACCAGGCACAGCTGATTTCTGCTTTCTAACCCCCGATCATAAAAATAAATACTCAAATCCTCTTTTTTTTACTCAGCATTATCATCTGCATTAAATTCTTCTGGTGTCACATCTTCGAACTTTTCACATCATAATATAAATGACCATAACAGGAAATCTAAATGAGACTACAAAACTTACACTTATTTGTTTTCATGAGTTATCCCATTGTGGCCACCTTTGTGAAAGTTAGTACATTCCTAGCCTGTGTAATGCACGGTGTGTACAGAACTGTGTACCTCTTGACGTTGCTGTTGGTAGCCATCAGCTACAGCTTCAATGCTGTGGCTGCCAGGACCCAACAGTGCACGAAAGTAGCCGCCCTGTGTAGTGAAGACTCTCGCTCCTCCATTCAGTACAATGATCGCTCCAACAATAGGTTTTCCACTCCTGTCCCTCACCACACCACGCACCCCTTTATGGACCTGGGTGGGGGAGAAAATGAGGCACATTTATAAAAAGAAAAACTTAAATACATAGTTTCCCCCCCTTTCTTTTAAGCCACTATGTGTAGTTTGTCTCCATGTTGTTGCATTATTGCATGAAAATATATAACTAAAAAAAATCTAAAGTTGAAATGGTAAACAAGTCCATGAAACATCCCCTTGTTGTAGCATACCTCCACCAACATGCTTAGGAGTGCCTTCTTGTTCTCAGCCCAGAGAGAAGCCAGCTGCTCAACAGGAGGGAACAAACAGCAGCCAGTATACACTGTGATTTCTGGACAGTGGCCAAAGTCCATGCTGAAATCCTGGGACAACACATAGACACAAGAGGACACATGAGAAAGTACTGGGGCAGATGCCCATTTCTGCCATAGTTTTACTTCTCAGTGGTTTTGACAGATATCACCAAATGCTGAAGATATGAAAACACCACCTAAGAAAAATGATGTGTGCTTGTTCATTTCAGATATCTCCATGAAACCCAAATACTATGCAGTGGGAGCATGGATGTCAACTTAATTGCGTTGATTGCTATCACAAACACTGGAGTGGAGAGACTTACCTTCATGCTCCCCATGTGACTTTGTCTCTCTGCTGCCCTGATAACTCCATCTGGGATGTTGCCCACTGAGAGACAGAAATGTTCAGTTAGCTGTCAAACACTATAATCGGATTTATGATTCACTCAGGAACAACAGAAATTGTTCAGAGTACAAAAATGACATACTCTGTCCATCGTTTGAACATGCAGTGGTCCCGAGGTGCATCTTGGGGTGGTTGTTGGCATAAACACCTGCCAAGTACTTCAATGTACCCTCATTTTCAACTGGAAAGACAAAACAAATTGTCAAGTAAACACACACAGCCAAATCTTAAGCAGTAGTCAGTGTTCAAATGGTTTATTGTTTGTCCCTGTGAATTGCTGTTACACAACACTTAAGCTTATAACTGTAAATGGAAAAATTGGCACTGTAATCTCTTGGCTGTGAGGCTGACTCAGAAGCAGTCATACAAAAACATGTGTCCAACTGGTGGCCACAGATTTTGAAGATAATTTGTTCTGGACTTGCAGTAAGTGTAAACTGATGAACACCTTGAACTAATGACACACATCACCCTCTTAAAGCTACAATATGCAACTTAAGGTAACGCTAGCATGAAACTCCGAATCAATCCAGTCGGCTCCGCCCAGCGCTCCTCCTGCTCCACTATGCTCTATTCTGATCTGCTACGCTCCACCACGCTCTGCCCAGCTCTTTGGATATTTGTTGTTATGAAATTACAAGAAATGAGAATGCAACAAAATTTACTGATCAAGCAGACATAATTGGAATTCTCTGATAGGTTAGAGAGGTCGATCCTGCTCAAAACCCTTTAGAAGCTAATATCTCTGCACTGATGCCAGTGCTCTTCAATGAGTCTGGGTCACAGGAGGTTTTGACAGCTCCTCTCCACATTAAGACAAGTTGTGGAGCAGATTTCTACAACAAACATATTTGAACAAAGTCACATACTCTACCTTTAAGACAAAACCAACAAAACAAAATCCTTCCCAGTCAAATTATTGTAAACACCCTAAATTAATTTTTGCTTATATCATAATTTCCCCACATATTTCAAGGATATTAAAACAGTCAAACAACAGACAGTTAGTTGCACAGTGGTGTTACCAGACTGGACAGGCTTGTCATAAGGGTACGTGGCAACAAGGGACCCTCCATCGAGGGCTACAGACAGTGTGTAGCCCTTTTCTAAAATTAATTCCATCATTGCACTGGTCTCTGGTTGGGCCTCTGCCACACGCTGTGATGCATTGCCTGAAAAAAAAGACAAAAAAAAAAAAAAAAAAAATTCACATGGTGGAAAGGAAACAGAGCTGTTAGCTTTTTTTATGGCAAGTGTAGTTAGAACATCAGCTGTTTAAAATGTGGACGCCATGAAAGCCCTCAGAAGTGAGGTCACCGTGATGTGATCGCTCCCTTGTGGCAGTGTAGGTCATAAATCTGGCCTCCTTTGTGTTAGCGGATGAGACAGGAGCCAAAGTAAAAACTCAGCTCGGATACATTTTTCCCAGAGGTGAATTCTGTGGTTTTTGGTAGATATTATAAAGCCGATGTGTGTACACGTGGTCATTTTTCTGGTAAGTTTGTTTTAATAAGTGATTTGATGACATAAAATGGGGTGTATTTCAAATGATTTGACAACTTTGGTGGCTTGACACATCACTCAACTACTTGTTCCTTACTGCTTAGAATCTGGTTGCAAAATTCCAAGATGGCAGCCACCACATTCACAATATTTTGGCTTCACTTTTTCATAGTGGAGGGAAATGGTGACGCTATGTCGATATTTATACAGTCAATAATATGACAGTTGTAGATAACAATATTGTGAAAAGATACATTCTTCTTCTTTTGCCATTGCCTCTCAGTTGCACATTCACAAACAAATCAGTACAACTGACCAAAGAAATCTGTGTCCAGATCTTTGCCATTTGCATTGGTCAGGCCCTGGGTGGAGGCGCACTGCTTCTCAATGGCCTGTTCTCGTCCGTCTGGGTTGATAGAGGGCACAATAACAATCTGGGTCTCGTTGATGAGCTAGAGTAGAGAAATGAAGAGAGAACAATTAGAACCATATGTTTACCAGTACAACTTTTTTCACTGCTAACAAAATTAAAGTTAATTGATTAAACCCAATAAAAAGAGGGTGAATCTCTCAGCTTGACGAAACAAAGAATTCTGTCTATTCCAGTAAACAAAATGTATGTTTTTAAAAAGGTAAGAGTTGGTGCATGCTGAACACAGTTGATGCATAAAGTATGCAGTATTATTTAAGAATCACAGCTGTCAAATACTATTTCATGAGGGGCTCCAAAACTCACTCTAGTGATGACTGGGTTCTTGCCATAGTTGGTACACAGGACCGTAGCAAACTCCAGCAGTAGCTCGGTGCCCACTGGGGCATTACCATGGATGCCTGCTACAAAGCGAATTTTGGGTTTAGATGGCTCAGCTTCCTGAGGTGTGTTGGAGATTTCCAGAGCCCAAATGGTTCGAAACTCTACACTTTGGCCCAAACTAGAACCAGAACAGAAGAATCGAGAACAAAGGTAGGTCAGTATCCTAAAAATCTTTAAATACAAAGTAGCAAGAAGAGTAATAAAAGTAATAAAACACAGAGGGGACCTGGACAGCCCAAACTTTTAGCAAACAGCGCATGAGTGACATACAGAGATGTCAAAGGATAATGTTAAAGGCAAATGATGTGGATTGGTTCAAATACAGGGCCCGGGGAAGGACAAAGCCTACATACCTGCGTACAGCTGTAATTTTGGGAAAGTTAAGTGTGAAGCTCCTGAAAGTATCGGGTAGCTCTTTGTAGCGTCGGTAGCGGAATGTGTTCTCTGTGGCTATGCTTTTGACCAGCTGCTCCAAACCCTGGCCTAGAGACAGGTCCTTGATTAAGTGCTGAAACTCCTTCTCAGATGGGTTTTGCGTGGGTTCAAGGCCGTTTGTAGACTGGCCATTAGGGTCTGAGTGTAAACGTGTCAGTCTGAAGTCCACCACCTCCACTCTATCTTTTGAGACTGAGGCATAGGTCATCCTAGGTTCATACCTGGACAAAAGTTTGTTTATTTTACAGCAATGGAAATCCGGAAAGGTCGTAGCACAGGAATAAAACACTTTTCAGTAACCATACTTTAGTTCTTCTCGCTGCTATTCCAATCTTACCCATGGGCAGATGCTTGGATGAGATAAGTGCCAGGGGCCAGCAGTCTCCAGTAGTCCCCAGTGTGAGCTGTGGAGATGTGGTGATCAATCCCCTCCACGCTAATGGTGGCATTGGGAATCCCTGTACCATCCCTGCTGTCAGAGACCGTGCCCTTTACTCCAGTGTGGACCTAAAGAAACACAAAGCCACGTCCACAAGTTGATGTGAAATCGAGTGAAACTGAGGAGAAAGTTCAAAGTAATCATAACCTGTGTGCTTATTACCTGGTGTATAAACTGAAGCAAGGCTCTTCGATTTTGTTCCCAGTAGGTAGGCAGGTCCTTAGCCTTAGGGTACTTTACACAACCCAATTCAATGGTGACCTCAAAACAGTTGGTGTTTAGGTAGTTCCAGTCCTGCATGCCACCTGAAGAAAAACTGCCCCTTTAAACTCCTACTCAAACCTTAATACTTTCCACTTAAAGCCAGTAAGGGTTTTTGTGTTTATAGCATCTACAATGGAATGTTTTTGTTTGTAGAAAAATAAGACAATCCCACTGGAAACAGATGTAGATGCTGTTGCTTTCAGCCCATCTAATTCTGCAGATGGTGGCTTAAATATAATTCAACAATTAACTGCACAGAGACTGAATTCACCTTTTGCTGACAAACCAGCTGACTAAGCTTGTATAAAAAAAAAACTGAATTTGTCAAAAAAAAGGTTTCATATATAAGAGTGCTGTGGAAAATCTCCAGTGGAAAAAAAATGAATGTGGTGAGTAGCAAATTAGGAAGAATGATGTAGGCATACCAGGAACATTGTACCAGTTGGCACCATTGGTGATGCCATCTTCAAAGTATTCACCAGGGTACAGGCCCTCACAAGGGTGTCCACTGTGCATCAGAGGATTTTCCTGCACGCACAAAAACACACACGAGTGAGAACTCAACAATGAGCTCTGTTGTTGTCAGGTTTGCAGCTCAGCTTTCTTCCGTCAGCACTCAAACACCACGTTTTGTTTTCAGTTACGCCATGAAACCACAGACAGAAACAACATCAACAGTGTCCAGTTACCTGTGAGTAGGCTTTAGACAACTGCTGAAAGACCCTGTCATCAGGCGACGGGCTGTATTGAATTGCCCCGTCTTTGTCATCATCATAAGGGTAGTTGACCACCAAGGAACCTGAATTCCACGGCACAAAACATGGTTAAAATAAACTTCATTATCCATAACATATATACACAACATTTTAAATTGTACTATCACTATCACCGAGTGGTAGTGATACTGAAAAATTGCCATCTTTGGCACTAACAGCTCAAAATAAGACATGCCTCCATGGAGGTTGGCTGACAGGACAAAGGGGATGCTCTTCAGCCAGTTCATCACAGCTATAGTCTCTGGCTGTCTGGGCTCTGTGATGGTGGCGAACTGGTCTGGAAAGTTGCGGTTCAGGTCAAAATTGTTACTGTTGTTGCGCCCTGTGTAGCCCTTTACATCACCTGTGAGGAAAAAAGTAACAAGTAGTAGCAAGTACCTGTTACTGCAGCATGTACCTGCTTGAACATGTACACAACCTCAGCCCAACCTCATCTGTACTTCCTGTTACACATCAGCAGCAGCTATCGGCCAGAATGTATTGGCAGATAGAGGAAGTGCTTTGTAAAACTTCCACCTACTTTACAAGTGTTCACAGAAGCAAGAAGGTGCAGATGTGCCATGAGCATAACACTATCTCATGAAAAGTACTAATCTACCTCTTAAAACTGAATGAACAAAGAACACATTATGTATTCCTTTGTGATCACTAAAGTCTCTATATCATTGTGATCTGGCCATTTTACACACCGTTTCATTTACAGCTGCAAATAGCAGATCAAATTACTATTCAAGCCCTATAATATTAAACCTTTGCTCCAAAACAACACACCAAACCCAGCTGTGACCTGTATTACAAGTCTTAATTTCATACTATGCCTGCAGACAGTGTTACTTTCACCTGTGTAAGCATTATTTTGTGTGGGCCTGGGTGTCTTCCTTTCTTTTACCTTCAGTGGCTACCTCATAGCCATCAGGGTTCATTGAAGGCATGATGTGAATGCGGGTGCTGTTGACCAACTCAGTGACCTCCGGGTCAGTACCATAGTTACGGCACAGGTACTCAATGAGATTGAGCAACAACTCTCGACCCACCACTTCATTACCATGCATGTTGGCCACATATTTAAACTCTGGCTCACCTGGCATGGAAACACAGAGTGAAGGGCAAAATCAAAATCTGTAGCAACAGATAACATTGACATAAAAAAAAGAATATACACTTTATCAGTAACAACACTTAAAGCCATAGCATACATCACATGTAAACAAGAGGGACTAGCCCAACATGACTATTACACAGTCTATGACGCACCATGCTCATGAACAGTGGGCTTGTTGGAGATGACCATCACATAGAGCTCACGGCCTTCTACGGAGTGCCCAATAGAGTGAAGATGGGTAATAGAGGGGAACTTGATGCTGTACTTGCGTAAGAACAGCTCCATGTCTGCATAGCTGTGGTGATGAAACTCCTGTGGCTGGATGGCTTGGTGTTCATTTGGAAGCAAAGGGGGGTTAGTTTGGATTTCCACAGTAGGAACCATCCAGTTCTGGGAGGAGGTAGAAAAGCGGGTGGCGCTGGTGGCAGTGGAGATGCTTGGCTCAGTGGTTGTGGATGGCAGCGAGGATGTAGGCACAGTGGTGCTACTGGCAGCCCAACTGACCACAGGTGCCAAGGTAAAGTTCAGTTCTGTGGCTTTCCCTTCCATGACCTGGACATGGTTGACTGTCTGTGACGCATATCTGTGTACAGAAAATAAATGTGAGGACAAGCACACCTTAAAATCACAAGGAAGAAATGACATTATGAGTGCGGTTTCCATTTAATTGCTCTACCAGGAAGTCTTACACCAATGAACATATGTATGTTCACTTCCGTAATTAAGAGTTACTCAGCAACTCTAATGAGGAAGTAACTGAAGTTATACATTTCTTTAGTGCAGCACTTGCAGGTAAATCTGTCTGAGACATGGAGGCTAAGTTTCAGTATTATTCTGGAAGAGCCAGATTAAAACTTTTGCTTTATTCATCATGATCTGGCAACTATCAAAAGACAATGAACAGCAATGGCTGCACCAGTTAGTGTCCTGTCACTGGTCACTGTAAAGGAAACTGAAACCTGACTATTATTTACTATTTTTAAGTGTTATCCTTTAATGCATAACTTCTGTTTTTGAAAATCTACAATTCAAAAAAAAAGTTCAAATGAATTACTGACCCTGGGACCACAGCTGTGATGTTGTATGTCCCAGGGATTAGGAGGCGGTAGAAGTCCCCATACTTCCCAGTGGTCAGGTTGTGGCGAATGCCTGCCACCACAATGCTGACATTGGCGAGGGCAGCACCAGTGATGTCCTCTTTCACATAGCCATGAACACCTATATGGACCTGGAAAGACAACAGTACTGTAAATACCAAGGACACTTTGACGTGGAGAAATTGTATGATAACGGTATCAGGCAGGCTTTGATTGTGTTATCTTTTTAAAGGTGCATTACCTGAGATTTTACACATTGTCTGATACAGTGAATCAAGTGAAAATGGGACAGGACGTGGTGACTCTCCACTATCCTTTCCCCCTCTATGACACTCTGCTGCCTACAGCGATTGTTGTTATTCCTGTTTCGCTACCTGGTGTTTTCAAAATACAGGACTTAATTTAGCCCCACCTGGCAGCTAGTAAAGGTCATGAGCAAAGTTTTTTTTTTTAACTATAAGTAGTCATTTCAAACAGCCACAGAGGAGCTCTTGGCAGCTAGAAGTCCAAAACAGTGACTGCCAAAATGAAGAAGGCATGTTTCTCACAGAGAGAGTGGGGGAAAAAAAGAGCAAAAACTAGGGTTAACATCAGTTTGACTTTTTGTGATGAAGAGTGTTAAAAGCAGCCAAAGGACTGCAAATTTGATCCAGATGTGGCGTTCTTCCTTCCGAGTGTGTTAGTATCTACAGCTAATGTGTTTGTTCTGGTAACATTAGCAACAGCATGGCATGTTTTTACCTTTGTACTTAATTAATGTGATTTTAATTTGGGAATAATTCCAGCTTTGTGTAACAGGAACAGTAACCAGTGTGTTCTAGTAGATTCTGTCAAATGTACTTGTTAATCAGCTGATGCTAGCTTTGGACTCGGGGGGGAAAAAAAACAGCAGTCAGGAGTGTGAGTGTGTTTTGAGTCTCACTAGACCCGCTAGCAGCTGAAATAAAATTAGGCAGAGTAACTTTAAATAAACAAAAAGCAGTAGGCACATTATAATGAATGATGTGTCATTACTCCTTTAACTTAAAAGCTCTACCTTTTCCATGTAGGCTAGTAGGGATTCCCTGTTCAGATCCCATTGATGATGGAGCTCAGATGCAGGAGGATATTTGCAGCAGCTCAGCTCCATGGTGATTTCCAGACAGTTTCCATAGAGGTAGTTGTAGTCCTGCATCCCCCCTAGATAACACAGCAGAATTATCATAGACCAAACATGCTAGAAATGGCATGAACAAAAGAGAAGGGTATGTCTAAACCAATGGATACTTCATATGGAAAACAGTACTCATGAAGTAAATTCTCTAACATGCTCTGCTTCATTACATTTAGCCCCCAATGTGTCAGCAGGGCATTTGCTTAACAGAGAAGGATGTTCTAGCTGGAAAGGCTTGAGCCCATCTTTGTCTCTTCAACGTGGTACAAAAAAAAAAAAAAAGACAGACGACTGCAGTTTACCAGCCAGCCCAGACACACAGCTGGTGTGTAGCCAGCCATCCCTCTGGAGCGAAAGCAGTCTGGAGGGTTGCCATGACTGCTTGCTGTGTGGCCACAGAAGACCAATAAAACAGGCACGATTTGACACTTTGCAACAGTTCAAGTAAAAGGCCTCCGGCACCAAATACTGACAAATAACTTTAACAGAGCCACCAGCCTCAGTGAGAGGCTCATCAATCACACCACAACAGAAACTGTTAGCACATATGCTTTAGCCATTTGTGAAACACAGCAAAGATATAGCCAAGCACATTCTCTGATTTACAAGTATTTTTCCTAACAACCACATAATTGTACTTAAAATACAGAATGAAAAATGAAACACTTAATATCCAAAAGCCTGTACAGTTCTCTAATACCCCAGTTTTAAATGGGCAATACAGTGCAAAACAGCTTTTTTTATTATTTTTTATTATTTTTTATGCAACATATTTTATTTAATTCC